TTCATATTTTCAGTAAAGCAGAGAAATGTAAAATATGCAGCAAGGGGGCAAGTTTACAATGTGGTTAGTAACTCCCAACAAATGACAAAAAATAAAAAATGACTTCTATAAATCGTCTGAAATGACTGCCATCATGTTGGAAAAGAGCATAGCGCCCTCCTTGTTTTTGAAATAAGAACAAGTTATTTGGCTTACGAATATTCATCGTATAGAATTGGTTCAGAGAATATTTTGTTTAAAATTTTACAAAACTGGGGATAAAAAAAAAAAAAAACAGAACTACAAACAGTTGCCAATCAGGGGTACTCCAAAAGAGGGAAAAAAAAAAAAAAAAGTGTGCAGAGGAAAGATTCCTTTAATGAATATTTGATTAACAAAAACGGGCTCTTATCAGCCATGCTTTTTCTGCTCCGTGATGGCTTCCTTTCATCCATAGGCCAGCAAATATATCAGTGATTTGTGAGCACCACTCAATTTGACTACAGCCCCGAGACCCTGCTCTTTATTTCAACACTAACGCGTGGATGACAACAGCAGGCTCACCACTCCTTGTCAATAGATCTACATTTTTTATTAAAGTACCACCAACACCAAAAGCGAGAGCTACGGCAGAAGAAAAACCATTTAAGATATAAACACATTCCTAAGCACAAATACTTAGCTTAAGAATAACAGCTGCAGTTAATTCCAAGAAAAGCAGCTTGTTATATAAGCCACCCCTTATTAAGCTTTTCTAATATTTCTTTCCCTATAACGGGGGGCGTAGGGGAGGAGAAACTTTACATTGCTTTAAGCACTGTTCTTACACCCTCTTCAGATAACAAGCTCCCCCCACCTGAGCAGCAGAGTCTGTTAGAGACCAGAGTGGATGAGGGCAATCTTTACAAGAGCATGAACTAAAGCAAACCTACCAAAAAGCAACGGGTGAGGTCTGAGTAGAGAAGTGCAACCAACAACGCTGCTTATTTTGTGGGGTGATACCTTAATAAAGACTACTCGAATCCCTCGCTAGAGCCCACAGCGGTTTTAATGCCGAAGTCTACAACGCATGGAGACAGCGTGGAGCTGGGGCCTGTCCTGGAATTCCAGACAGGGGCACGCACCCACTCCTTCTCGGAAAGAGGATTCTTTCGGTTTGAGCACCAACTCTTAGAAAAAAGTACTGGCCTATGGCTGAAGTGTGTCACTTTCCACAGCAGCACTCAACAAGAACTGGGACAATTAAATAGCAAGTTTTCATGGGGACCTTGTTGCTGCTTTAGATTCTTATAAATGTAAGGGGGAAAAGGAGAACCCTTTGTTTTAATACAAGATTGACAACTAAAATGCTTTCTGTAGAAATGGTGGATGGAAAATCAAGGGTGGGCAGACAATCTTAAAAGTGAAGAAGGCCACAAGAACAAGTGCAATTTTTTTCTTTTTTTTTTTTTTTTTGTTTTTTTGTAAAAACAGAAAAGAAAAGAAAATAAGCAGCTTTTGAGCTCTAAAGAACCTGATTGTAACATTATTGTTGTCCTTTCTCTGGGCAATACGGACTTAACTGTGTATCCCTGTAATTACATAATGAGTCCTGTGGGAACTTCCTCTGTTTAATACTTATTTCGCAGAATGCAACCTAATACAGAGAGACAGTCTAAGGTTAATTCCCTTTGTTTTGTCTGTTTTTCAGTATTCTGTGTGCAAGTGAAAAGCCTTCTTGGATAATTAAGACTGTGTCTACAATCACAGTTACAGTATGCTGATCTTAAAGATTATAAGGAAACTCAGGTACTGATGCTTAACTATAAAAAATAAGATAAAACAATATTTTAACCCATAATTTTACTAAGTTTATTACACACCATAATATTTACAAAGTTAAATGTTAACTGTAAAGTTTCTATTGTGTGGGTTGTTTTTTTTTTTAATTTTTATTTTTTATTTTTTAAAGAACTATGCCCTGCATTTAATAACCCTACCACAAGTACAGGTCATTAACTGAATCTGTGTGACTGCATTAGGAAACAGGCAGTACTCTTGTGTTACAACAAAACAGTTTATTTGTGATCAGTGTTTTATATTCTATACATCCTTCACAAATTTAATTTTACATAATCGGATACTTCATTTAAAACGTAAGATTTAAGCTTCTAGTTCTTCCCTATAACAGAAGGCTGGTATAAGTTATTTGAAAATGAGGTAACATTTCACAGAACATTTTTTTCAAGTTTTAGAGAACTAAATTTGCATTTTGTTAAAATCAAAAAGTAGGAAAAAGATGTTTCTTTACAAATGACTTTGCTCAAGTATGTGTTCAAAGAAAACAGGATAAAAAGGCTTTTTTTCTTCTAACATTCTGTACTGTACTGTGTTGTTCAATCAATAGGAATTAGCTTCTGCCATTTGCTAAAAGAATGAGTAGTGGGGAACAGGATAAGTTGGGAATTTCATAACTGGTAACAGAACCATTCTCTTGGGTAAACCTACAGAGAGAAGAAAGGGAGAGGACTCCAAATGAGTTCAGTGATCCAAGAAAGTCAGGTAAGAGCTTACAGCAGTGTTCTCATTAACCTCTTCCAGATCAGTCAGTCAGTGTGACCTTAGGATGCAGAGTCCCACAAACAGTAACACTTCAACACTTTGCACTATTTCAAACAGATGGTTAGCTTAAAGTTTGCTTTTATTTTTGTCCTGGTGTTTGGTAAAATTAAAGTAAGCAGTACTCTCAAAAGCAGAGTGTGGATTCAGACCTGAAGCTCTACTTCGTAATCTTTATGATAGTTAATCTCTACTATCTCGTTGTATGTTCCGAGTTAATTTCACGGGCCAGTTACAATTGCAGATATCCTAGACAGGCACTGCTGTGCGTAAAAGAGAACTCAAAGGGAAACTGTTCAGCAGTTTTGATAAGCATCCAGGTAGGTCAGCCAAAAATCAAGCACCTACAGTAAATTCTGCATCTGCTTCATTATTCTGTATTTCCTCTCCTGTATTGAAGTGGCAAATCTGGAAAGAGGAGTATCTGCCTGATTTCATGATTATTAGAGAGTTCTTGTGGCCTCGCAAACTTCTGCACAATTAAATGTTTGTTTGTTTTTTTAATCTTGCCTATTTAAATTCTAGTATTTAACCTATGTATCCATTTAGAAATCACAAAGCAGCAACAGCAGGTATTCCAGAGCACCAGATGATCAAAGTGAAGTTTCCCAACATGCAACAGCTTACAAAGGCAAAGAGACATGTTTACCTTACAGCCAAAAAGCATTATCCCAGTACTTCGCATCACAATCATAAGACATTAAAAACAGAAACTCTTTATGTGAAAAATGGGGGCATTCAATTCCACAATGCTTTGAAGTCAGTGATATGTCACATATACACAGCTGAGTGATTAAAATCCAGCTCCAAAAATAGGCATCATGAGTAAAAACACAAAACGGAAGGGATGAATGAAAAAAGCAAGGAAAGTTGGTAACAATTGTATCCTTCAGCAGGGAAGGGATTCCTCTTATGCCACTATGTGTCACTGCTTAGAAAAACACAAACATGCAGATACCACTCCTCTGGGTTACAGTCTGTGACTATTGCTTGAAAAAGAACCAACATCCGTACTGTGAAGTAAGCCCTAAACTAAGTTTCCTTTCATTTTTGCTTGAGAAAACATGTTGCTGTTCCTTGTGTAATGCAACACAAAAGACAACATGCAGTGTGTGCTAAGTGGGACAACACTGCTGTCAGCTGTCATCCTGTCAAAGCTCTCTGCCGGGCAGCAGGGCAAGAGGTCTCAAACTAGAGAGATTTGCTTCCATTTTGAAGGGAGAATTCCACACCGAGTACAGCCCACGGGCCCATTCTCCTTTCCCTTTCCACTAGGAGTACAGACTAGGACCAGCTGGCCTTCATCAAGCCAAGTGAACATTTTCAATAAAGCAGCTGCATTCTGCCAGTTTATAGCTCATACCTCTAAACTAAAGTCATGAAATCAACGTTTCAAAACACTTCTGACTTTTATAATACTATCAGGGGAGTTGGTATTGCCCAAGCTATACAAATTTGAGAGGAACAAGTATTAAAAATGCTACAAACACTAGAAAATTAATAGCAAATTGCAGGCTTAGTTTCCTGTATGAAAAACTGCAGGCCCTGAGGTGTGCTCAACCTGCCAGTCGAGGTGGGCCTGGCTGGGGTGGGCTCGCTTTGCGTGTGCCGGGACATATCACTGACTCCAAACGGCTTTGCTCCCATTGCCACATAAACCTCATTCAAAGTAACCAAAAGGGCCGGTTAGAGGTATGCATTGTTAGTCTAGCATAAAAAAAAAGCCAGTGGGTAGGGAGAAGCTGAGTTAAGAAAAAACCCTTCCATCATAGCTCTCTGATGATTAGTTTATTTGACAATCTTCATGAAACCAGTGCTTTGCCAGCCTAACATCACTGTGTTTCTTAGTGAAAAGCATTGTGGCAAATTACCGTGTCCTAGCTGCCCTGCCACCTGAGTGCTAACGGTGTAAGCTACACAGAACCCGTTCTGCTTGGCCCAAGCAGCAGTGGTTTAGCCTGCGGGGGGTAGCGGGGGGGTCTCTATGCACGTAGACTTCACTGAGTTGATGGCATTAAGAGAGGTTTGTCCACAAGCCACTTAGACCTGGGGACAAACGTTTTGCCAATGTTACTGTAATGCCATTTGGATAAATACGGGTCAGAGATGCTGAAATAGGCCCTTCGGTAGTCTTTGAATGGAGCACAGATTGGCTGTAAAAAGTAAGAAAACTACTTCGATTCAGTTTCAGTATGAAAGGGAACAGGCAATTAGAACGAGCAGTCCTTCCACAAACCAGGCAAAGCATAGGCAAAAAGCTACTCCAACCAAAAAAGAACCACAAGGTTATGGCATAAAAGTGTTGTTGTTGTCATGGTTTAAGAGCTTTAATCTCTTTGAGTTTCTCCTTGGACTGCCACATTTGGACTGCCACAACAGTTTCTCTATCATTTCTAATTTGTTAATTATTGGGCTATACATACCGTAAGCTGGCGCCGCTGTACTGTACCCATACGGTGCTCCGTAACCTGCAATATAAACACACAGGGCATGGGGTTTGTTTCCTACTGTATCAGAAGGCAACAGTGTTTGTACAGCGCCGCACAGGCAGGGACCTATTCTGGTACATGATGCAGGACCCACAGAAAAAACAAACTCACCCTAATACATACAAATATTGCTAAACCCACAGAAATCCTTCTATGTGGTGCCCTGAAGAACAGGCTACCCAATGACTTCCTTGGCATCAAAGAGTTAAATTCCATATTTCATTTCTTTAGCATTTTCATTCAGCTGAAGCCCTCCAGCCTGTACTGTCAGAGTGTGGAGCTGCCATGATCCAGTCAGACAGCCCATATTGGCTTCTGCTCTGCCTAAATTACAAATACAGTCTAATGCAGAGAACAAGTCATTTTCCTCCGCTTCTGCTGTAAGGAGGGGAATGCTTGATGCCTGTGGCAGATACCACATGCCATCAGTAAAGCTCTGGTGAGTTCTGCTTCCTCTGCCACTTCTAACAGAAAAAGTTTCACAGAGGACATCTGAACACCTGGGGGCAAACAGAGAGCAGTATCTTTCTGTCCCAAAGAGCTAAGTGTGACCCTGGAGCAAGACAAAAAGCAACAGTGGTAAGACCAGTCTTGGTTACTCTTATCTCAGTAGTTCGTGAAGGCTTTACAGGAAGTTTTTTGTGCTGGGATTGCTAGTGTCCATCACAAAAAGCAAGAGATTTCCGAGAAGAATAGCGGATGAAGAGAAGTAATCTGTGAAGGCCAAAGCCAATAAAAGCTTAACAACTACAGCGACTGGGAAATTAAATTTATTTCTGGATGGAGTAATTCCATGCTGGCAAGAAGCATGCCCCTGGCAGGTTAAAGTGTCTCATAAATGACTCCTCAGGCAGAAAGACAGTTCCAAAACCAATGTTAGCAGCCATTAAAAATGAATTATTGGTTTTTAGTATTTATAATTACATGAACATACAGGAAGAATGAGGACGACACGCTGTCGACTACTGCCAGGAAGCAAGTCTACCAATAACAGGGCTATGCTATTAGTGTGTGTGGACTGCTGAAGGGTATAATTAGAGCTCATGCTGTAATCTGAAAACCTGAGCATGAGGAATCTAACTTTTCTTTTTTGGAAGCTATTGGATTTACTTCGACTAAGGAAATCTCCAGCATCTCATCTTACACATTTGTGGTTCTTACTCCAAGTAAAAACAATGTCTAGATTCCCTTCACATGTCACCTGCAAGCCTCAGACATGTAGCGAGTCACAAAGAACAATGTACTTTGAAAAGTGAGGGGAATGAGAAAGTGAACATGTACTGAAAATTTTCTGGTGTTTACATTTTTACACTTTACACTCTCTGTGCCTGTCATTTTAAAAACGCAACAACACATCAAAAAACCCTACACTATTTTGTACCAGCTAGCAGTAGCTGCGCATTCCAGCGCTTCAAGCCGGAAAAGTTTTGCTTCTGATGGTTGCAAATCTGCCCTGAGAAATCAGCCAGGCTAGTAACTCACCTGCTCTGCATGGCAAGCACCAAGGATAAATGTGAACCAGAAGGCCCCTGGATTTTCAAAGATATTTCTGCTAATCAGAACAATGCAGCAGGGATGATGAATTAACATCTGCCAGAGTATGAACGGAAATTCTTTTATTTTTACTTTTTTGGACACCACAGAAGCTACTAATAGCTGCTGGGCTCACATGTACAATTAACGCAGAAAGTTTCTGGGAGCACAGTAACTCCCGAGCCTGCCAACTTCATCTCCACAAGGGCTTCATGGGAAAGCCACTCCTAAAGGGAGCATGATCCAGGAGGTTCTTCACTAGGAAGGGAGTTTTGGGAATTGTGCCATGGCAGTGAACTATGAAGACAGCATACAATAAAATAATAAAGGCAGGAAAGCCATTATGCCCATAACCATGTGCTCTGTGCATGCCAAGCTTCACATTGTATACTCATAAAAGACAGGTACTGCCAGTTTTTCAGCTCTTTGATTTATTTAAAGCTCCATGAATTCTCCCTTCTGCTTCATCTCAGATGATTAAAGCTGAAAAAATCACTTGCATAGGTGACTGACGCATATGGAAAAGAACACCCCAGCAGACAGAAATTGTATTTCTGGCATCATGCCTTACCTGGTGTGATGTATCCAGTAGCAGCAGCTGCCCCGACAAATGCCCCTCGTGTTAAAGCACCTCGTCCTCTGCCTCGAACAGCCTGGACTGCTGCAGAAACAGCTGTATTGACAACCCCTTTAGTCTGCCCAGAGCAATAAAAAACAGGAGTTCAGAAAGTGAAAGCGTTGATGGAAATACAAGGCCATCTGCGTGAGATCACCACCCTTTAAAAATCTCTTTAAACATGCTTGCTGCGCCTTGTTAAGGGCAGGCCACAGACTGGAGAGGGGCTGCCCTGAGGAACGGGACCGACGGAACCGAGCAGAGCAGGCAGGGCCCAGCCCGTTCCCTCGCTGGGCGCGGGGTCAGACCGTGCTGGCACCTCGGCTCCAGCCGCGTGGGCATGAAGGAACGCTGGGGGCTGCTGACCCTCGCTCTGCTCTGCCTCTGTCTCTCCCACCTCCTTACAAGCTTCCTCTCCTTGATCTACAGCATTGTCTTTGCTTCCACCCTACCGTTCTCAACCCACATAACTTCAGCAGGGCCAGGATTCCACCCCAAAGTTGAAGAGGTGCAAAAAAGGTGCAAAAATCTCAGTTTACTCCAGAATCAAGAGTTAAGGCCTTTACCTGGCTATAAATGACTTACTCCCTAAATCCAGCATCTTAAGTGATGAAGGAGTGCTCTCGCCTGAAACACAAGAGACTCCCACATCCCCAGTGGCCGAACCACCGACCATAGTGTGTCTTTCCCAGCTAATCAGCACTTCTCTGCGCCTCCTTTTCTACTGTATTTCCAAGAATATGGTCCCAACTATCAGATTACATCGTTAAATGACAATATCATAAAAGAATAAAAATAGAAACCTTACATGTGTGCATAAAACAAGAGACCGCGATCAGTTACTTCCTGTAGAAGTTCTTGTATCATAAAATAACCCAGAGCTGTGACAACAGTGGTTCATAAAGCAAATAACAGTTCCTACCTGAGGAAGAATCTTCTTTTTCTTGTTGTTTGCTGCATTAGGCCCAGAAAACAGTTTTTCAAGCGCTGCTAATGCAGCACTTGCTTTTGCTACTTTCTTATTTGGGCCTGCACCTCTGAACTTCTGCCCATCTACTTCTACCTGAAAATTGAGACATGAGTTTATGCCTAGTATTTATCCTTGGAATACCGTGCTGCACCCACTTGTCATGATGTGCCATCCATAAAGAACTTCAGTAGTAAAATCCCCAGTGTTTTCCGTGGCAAATTTCTATTGTTTCTAGATTATGAAGCTGATAACACATATGTGATCCCGTGAACCCTTACATGGCAGATATTAGGAATCTGGGATGTACAGGGGCAATTCAAAGAGGACCAGTGTATCTCTTTGACACTGAATTTAGCCAATATGCTTAAGCTCCTCAACACACAAATGATAACTTCAGGAAATAGAAGTTTAGGAATCATTTGAGGTTCCCCTCATCTTTATCGGTGCATTCTCTACCAGCATCTTTGCCTACACTATACACACACTGTTTAACTGGGATGCTCCCTCATACACTTAGAGCCCAGTGCTACTGCAGAGACAGCACACCCTCTGCTACAGTCATTCCAGATATCCCTGGGAAGCTGGCAGTAGGAGATTCAAGTCAGGTCACTGACATGGAGTTACCAAGTATGTTTGCAAAATTTGTAATCAGAGATTTCTGTCAAGCTGTGGATGATCTTCTTCCCTCCTCTTCCTCCTCATGTCAAGACATGATGGAGTTTGGGGCTGTCAGTTTTAACTCTCATTGCATTTTCCTAAAGCATAAAAGATATTCCTTTCCCCAGTCTAATCATCACAGCAGCATAAGAGACACAAAAGCCTGAAAACATCACCACCACGGATGTGCACTGCAAAAAGCAAAATAAAAAAATCTCAACTGTAGCAGCAAGCAACTCTAGAGACTGACTGTTAGCAAAACCTCCTACCAACGCTGTAACTCTGCTTCACTCACCTCCATCACGAAGCGCTTGTCGTGGCTTCCACCGGTCTCGGAGATGAGCTCGTACTTCAGACCTCTTCTTTTTTCATTGAGCTCCATCACTGGGTTTTTGCCACTTGCTGTGAGTATAGGACCCTGAGTTCTTACCTAGAGAGACATTTATGGTGCTGCTTTAGAGCCTTTATCTCTTCAAAAGGCAGACAAACATGTTCAGCGCTGCAGCTTACAGTGCCACATGGCCAGCCACATGGAGACCACCAGCAGCATCACTGCGTCAGGCCTCTGCAACAGCTTGTTCTGGCCCCTGTGTGGGCCTCCTCAGGCTTCCCAGAACAGACCTGTATCAAAGGTAACACCGCCTTGGCTTCGCTAACACGCCGCGCTAGCACAGCAGATGGAAGGTCTCTGTGCTAAAGAACAGCAGGGGGACAAACAATACTGCAAAAGAAGTCACACCCTCTTTAATTCTGTTGGCGAGAGCTGCTGTCCTCGCGGTCTGGTCTGGTGTCCACACACTGGCCAGTTCACCAGCTGCACTTGGGATTCCAGCCCCGAGAGTGTCCAAAGCCAAGGCTGAGGCCACGGTGTCAAGTTCCTTGACATCGAAGGCTTTATCACCGAATGGAGAGATTAGCCTTCCCAACCCTGCACACATCTCTGATGCTCCATCTAATTGCGTCCTGGCACTACTGAGTTCTGACTGGAGACGTTTCATATCCCAGGTCACATGTTTTAGCAAAAATATCTGTAACTGGAAAGCAAGGACAGTAAAGCTGAGATCTCGGCAAATGAGCAAATCAGCCTGCATCAGAGTGCACTCAGCTGCAGATGCAAATGACTACTCACTGATCAAAAAGTTGATTAAGGGATCAAACCAACGTGTTCCAAAGCAACTTCTTATTTTGGATAAAGATCAAGAGTCCTAGTACCAGGACCCGCCCTTTGACAGTGAAGTGTCTCAGAAGCGTAAACATGGAAACCCAAAGTCACGCAGCCTGGGAAAGATCTTCATCATCTTAAAATATTACCTACTTTTGTGATAAAATATAGTAAGTTTTAAAGGCAAATTAACAAGTGAGTTTGTTGAGTATTAAATACCCCCATTTCCTTTCCCTGGAAATGTCTCAGTAGACTACAGACATATGTGAATCGAGTTGTCTGTGATTATGCACTGTCTGGAAATTAAGTGGCTTCCAACTGAAGAAATTAATGTTTTAACATCTTGGCAAGTATTCGAAGAACAGAACAATTACTTATATTTACAGCACAACCCCCCCATAGTCCTGGAAAAAAGCATCATAATGAAAAAAGAAAACAGGGATCTACAATGGTTTATCAGTACAGCCCCCAGAGAGCTTGCTGCAGAGCTATCAGGCAGACAAACAAATACACAAATTAAAGCTGTTACTCAGTCTTTACACAGGATTCTTCTCTAAAATCCCTCTGGCAGTTACAAACACTGGTTGAGGAAATCAGGAAGCGAAAAGGGTGAAAGGGATGACATCTAAGCATGAGTTTAAAATCTCCTGGTTTCTCAATGGTGAAAAGAAACAAATACTAGAAATACTTTTAAGAAAATAGCCAAATAATGTACTACAGATCCATCACAGCTTGATTCCTGGGGACATTCAGCCAAAGTTACTAAAGTTACTAGAATTTTGTCCTCTGAGGAATACTCTATTTCCCACAACTTCAGTGAGAAAAGCCCAGCATGCTCCTCACAGCATCCAACTTCAGCTGCAAGTGCCAGAGTTAAAGTGTGTTCTATTGAAAGAGGAGCATTTTCGATGCGGAGTTTTCTAGTCCATTCAATATGCACAGAGGTATTAAGTTTTACATTTCTTCACATCTTGTAATGAATTTTTACATTTTCATTGGTATTCATGTGTATCAGCTTAAACCACTGTCTGTGTAAGTATAGCTTTTTGACAAACCTACTGTTACAAGACAGAAATAGTGAAACGTGCATTGCTAGAGCCCAGAGGCACCAAATGAGATGGAGCTGTCCCAGGCCCAAGACCACACAGAAGCTAACGAGGAGGGACAACACTTGTCTCTGAGAGCTTACGGACTTACAAGGAGAGGATGGCTATACCACCTTAAACCTGGAGGCACAAAGATCAGTTACTTGTCCACAGAGATGGAAAGCCTGGGGCAGATCTTGAGACTAGAAACTGCATCTTAATGCCTAAATCCACCACCCTAACCAAAACGTCATCCTCTTCTGGGAGAAGAGGAAAAAAAATCCACCAAAACCCAAACCCCACACATCTCCATCACTTGTACTTTTTCATGCAATACTCACCTCTAGGGTAGCGGAGGTGTCAGCTGTGGAATTTCCAGTATTATTGCTTGAGATTGAAGACACTGTTTCATTTTTACCTTCAGTATCTGATTTTTCATCAGAACTCATACACTCCACATCTGCATCAAAACCAGTTGGATACCCCATCGCTTGTAAAACCTGCAACAAAGGCACATGAAATGAACTGTAAAACAGATAGCACTACGGAAACAAATCCAAAGCTGATCACAACACAAAAGAACGTCCACTATACACCTAGTAACAGCAGACTGCTTAGAAATATGTTTTCTCCTGTGTTGAAATGGAGAAAAACACAATAGCAATGGGGAAAACAGTTCCAGGTTTCTCCAAGTGGAATCAACACAATTTTAGTTTCAAAGATAGCAATTACTCGTGAGCATCATTCATCATCTTGAGAATTCTTTGTAAGGTAATAGATTAAAATCCAGAAGTGCATCTACTCCGTGACACTGTTTAACAGTACAGTAAGGAGATTGTTTTGCACACCGTGTCCCCCCTCTCTCTGTGTGCATGGACAGATCAAGAGATAGACTGTAGGGCAAACAAGACAAACAGTCTTATGAGAATTAAAGCATTGTACTTCTACAAAATGGTACTTCTGGAGTTTCCTAGGAAACTGCAGGCGACAGCCAGTAGGCACCCAGTGGTACACAAAACGTGTCCCTGAAGCTGGAGGACTTAATCATCTCCCTTGCTTGCATCTTTCAGCGACACCAGAGGGTAGATGCTTCCAAAGCAGGTGTACAGGGAGCAAATTCCTGACCCGAGACGTGAGGTGAAGGAACACCTGGCAAGCGGAGTAACAAACTGCCTGCCTGCAGCCAGCCCGCCTCTTCACGAAGCACGGCACAACCGCCAAGCTTTTTCCATGCTGCTCACAGCCAGCAGTGTCCAGCAAATGAGATTTTACTGATTAAGGTGCCGTTCATCAGCTCCTTCAAAACCATCCTCCACTAGCAAGGCCAGGCTCTCCTTTATCCAGCTACTAACCCAGTTGTATGAAGGTGCCAGGCCCAGAAGAATCTGAAAAGAACCTGAAGCTCCGCTAAAAATTTAGTCCCAAACCCAAAGTTTACAAAAATCACTACATTCCAGCATTGAATTGAGAACTGCAGGGGTAACTCCAGGCTCAGCTCCCACACAATTATGGTATATTTGGCAGCATTTTTCAGGGCTTCTAAATTTTAAAAAGGTCAGATCTAGAAACTGAAATGGTCACATTGTTCCCTCTTACTAGTCTGGGAAAGCAAGGCCTGGATCTGCTAGGGAAAAAAAAAGAAAAAAAAGATCTGGTCTCTACCACACCACCCATTTCCTCTTGGCTCGAATCATGGATGTTTTGAAGCGTTGCCCAGGATTTGTATATGTGTAAATTTAGAGAAAACAGAGCTGGGTAGGCACCAGCACAGATCTGGCTGACGCAGAGAGGTTCAAGGGCAGAGAAGTCACTGCAGGGAGGGAGGCAAAATAAAAGAATGAGGCAGAAAGTCTGGAAGGACACACACACACAGATCTACTCTTCCTGGAGGAACAACACATCCCCTCAGATACTTCTGGACACTTTGAACTTGAAAGCTCATGGGACAATGGGATTTTCAAAACTGAAATCAAAGGAAAGCAGAAAGTTGCCAGATGAAGCTTCTAAAAAGAAAATGCTTGTTCAAAACAAAACGAAGCACAGAAGGACAGATGGGCTTGTTCCTATCAAAAGTGCAGTTCTATTATAAAGGTTCTCTTTCCTATCGATTGTCTGTAGGAAACTTTCGTTTCCTCCCAGAAAGCCAGCAGCTCGGCCTGCTGCAGTGGGCCGCGCTGTCCCCACGCAGCCCAACAAGGCTGTTCTCTGCCGAGTGTTCCAGGCTATCGCAGCTCTACAGACCGAAGCTCTGGCACCCAGAGCACCTACAAGGAAGCAGCAGTGGGTAGATGAGTACCTGAACGACACTGGTCTCTTCTTGAACTGCCTGGAGACCCGTCATTTACGTACATCATTCACCCCCGTGCACAGAGGTGCTCTTCAGACACTGAAGACAGGAAACAAATCTGTGTTTCCAGGAGCTCCCAACCCAGGAACAGACACAGAGAAGGACGGGCAGAAGGAGGGGAGCCACCAACATGCCGTTCTCCAACCACGAGGAGGGAGGAGTCGAACAGAACAAAACCAAACCCCTCCAGTCCAGAACTTAAACACCACATCCAGCCCATCGTCACATGAACTGACCTGCAGAGCCCTGGGAAGTTCTCCCCTGCCTCTGTTGGTATAAAACCAGTGACACTGAACCGTGCCCAGCTGTGTTTAGAGTATGTAGGTAGCAGCTCAGCTTCATCCAGAATTTTTTGAGGTTGCATATTACTAGTTCTAACCATATTTCATACTCTGTGTTCCAAGATCTGGGGTTGGCAGATTACCTCAGGCTGCCTTACCTTCACGGCCACATGGAGCTTGGCTGTTTTCTTAGAAGGTCCTGACGCTTCATACGTCGTACCGTCAACATCTACAGACATTGTGAAGACCGGGGCGTGGACCGGCCCAGACTGTGACAGCAGCTTATACTGAAGCCCTGGCCTGATTTGGTTCAGCCTCATCAGAGCATTCATGAGATCTATTGCTTTACTATCTAGTACTAGTACAAGATAGTAGAAAGGGGTGTGGAAAAAAAAAGGGGGGGGGGGGGGAAATGAACAAAACAAGATGAACAGAAAAATGAAACAGTTTGCATTTCAGTGCCTTCTGTCTGTATAATTAACTCTTATCTCAGCCAAAACGAGGACAAGGAGCAAAACAATCCCTCAGCCTCGCAGAGGTTAAGTCTTTAATGAGCCATTCTACTTCGGGTAACGACTATAATAACCCATTTTTTAATACTGTTAACACAATTCTTTTGCAGCTAGCTATATTCTTCCTGGCTGCTATAAAAGGAGTAACAAGTTTTATAGGTAGTGAGGAACCAGATCCAGAACTGGCATCAAAGCAGCACAATGAAAACAGCCCCAGAACTGACTGGATCCCAGCAGAGCTGAGAGACTTCTAGTCTGTGCATATATGCCAGGTCATGTTTTGTAGAGGAAACATTTTTCTTGTGGGAGGTCTTGAGAGACCAACAACTAGCTCAAAAAGGGAAAGAATGTAAAAAGGCAAATATTCACACAGCAAAGTCACTGCAGTATTTTGAAAAAAACCCAACCCCACAGTACGGGGACATTATCAATAAAACAACGCAGCTGCTCGGGCAACTTAAGTTTTACTGGAATTTGATGGGCAATCCCATTTAAAAATGCAAATCATTCAGTTAATAAAACGTGTCAGGGGAGATTCAGATGCACAGTAAGAGATGTGTTTGACAGGCCAAATGTGGGGTCAGACACAACATTTTTTGTTCCAAAGACTTTTTCACATGCTATTCCACACCAACACAGAGAAGCTTTTAAACCAGCTCCCACTGCATAATAGATCTTTGAGACAGAATAGAGAAGTGTTGCACTTACTTTTCCTCAGATTACGCTTCATCTTTTTATTTGGATCTTTATCATCCCCGACACTATCTTCAAATGGTCTCTTAAGAGCAGATGAGCCTGTACCTAGGGTATAAATTTCCTTGTAATATGGATGTGCTATTAGAAAAACAAAATTCCACAGCAGGAGTCTGATTAGTCCCACACTGTTCCTTGCATGTTTATAACGAAAAGAACTCGGCCATCAGTCAAAGCTTTCTTACTGCTACACGTGAGCCAATGTTAGCTTACTACTCACTGTACCATGCCATGCAAGATGTCTCTTTCCAACATCATGTGTGAGAGAAGTAGTGCAATTCTGCAGGGTTGGTTTTTAGAATGTGTTCTAGGAAGAATTCTTGAGTAATTCTTACCAATAGATACTTGTTATATGCTTTTTGACCAGTCTACAGTCTCTCCCAGCACAAGAATCATAAGCACTACTTTTACTCTTCAGACCCCACAGGACTATGCTTAGAGAAAATCATCAACTGTATTCTAGCTGTACTGTATTCAACTGTATTCTAGCTGTACTGCTCCTCTGTTGGTACTTCCGAAGAACAGAATTTCCAGATTTCTCCTACCAATTAAACATTTTTTTTAAAGAAACCCACATTTAACACAAAGGAAAGCCTTTACCTTGCATTCACAGCATATAACTCGGAAATTCCACCCATTCTAAATTAACCCCTAGTTTACTGCCCAATTAGCGATTTGTGGAGGAAAGAATACCTACCTTCTTTGTCAGTTACTGACCAGGAATATTTCTGAAATGACTTATTTGATGGGAGGGGATCCATTTCCAAAACCTTATAGATCTGACCAAAGGCTGATAATCTGAGGGCATGCTATAGGGTGACAGCAGAAGCACAAGTTACATCACAGCACTACTTTAACTCGGTCATCTTACGTTTATAAACAAGTTTGTAGACAAAACCCCACAACTTCTATGGGAAGACAGCTTCTACAGCTACCTTCTGTGATCACTATAGGAAATACTAGTGTCTGAAGATTTTAAATCATTAATTTCTGTAATACAAAGTCCAGGGCTCTGTGACATAAGCACCTGAGGTGGATGCAGGTGGTGCACAGACATCGGGCTGCCTTTCACAAGGGTTAGATTTCATGCATGTTTAAATCCTGCGCTTGTGAACCATCATTTAATGTTTTGAGGGCAGTGCCCTGGGAGAACTGTCAGGACTGCTATTGCAATAAGCTGTCCTGGCAGAGAATAAATTGTATTAATGAGCAGAAATCTTCACTGCTACAGTATCTACTCCTCAGATGTACGAGTTTTCTACCTGAGCACTGTGCGTAATGGCTTCTTTTTGCTGAACTGTCATGTAGGACAAAGCATCTGTTGGCTCCCGTTCACAGGGGTCATGCAGACCAGGGCCTCCTAAGAGAAAAAGAGGTAGAGAGATTATTGAGGGTAAACGAGAAGCAACATGGAAATGGGGCTTGCTGGTTCTCGCCACAGCTAGTCTCAGTCCTCAGCCGAGGATGGGATTCACACACCGCACGAAGCAAGTCAGCCCCGACAATTCACTCCCTTGCAGCAGTAGCCACAGAACTCACCAGGGTTAACACTGCCCATGGGTAATAACATGAACTAGAAGTGGTAGGTTTAAAAACACTCCCACAAATAATTTGAATAAATACATAGATTTTGATGACTACAGAAAACAGACGGTCATTAAGTCTTACTTGTTTGCAACCCCTTAATGAGATAGAGGTTAATTCCTCACTCACTTCTACCACGTTGGAAGCATTCATTCAAACAGTTATAACCATGCAACTTCCTTCTCCCACCCGCCTCCCCTTTTAATTTTAAACAAGAAACCATTAATTGAGCTCCACTGCAGGTTAGCAGTTCAAGGCAGGCATTTTTCATCTAATCATACAGCAAACAGCAAAATATTAAGGCTGTCTGACCAGCCCCTTGTGTTCCTGACGTCAGCCTGGCCCCTTACCGGGAAGCAGAATTCCAGACGCCAAACACTCCATCACTCGTCGCAACGCTTCCCCAGCTCCCAAAGGTCTATTACAAGTACCTATAGATTTTTCACATATAAGCTCGAGTGGCTAGAAGACATTAAATTACGATTAGTATGGACACAAGGGTAACTGTAATGCAGTTAAATATGGAGGGTAGAGGGGAGGAATATTCACATCAGCTTACTTCACTTCTAATCCACTACAGACGGCCATCCCAGAGGACAGATAACGGCACGTGTATCTGTTCCCTGCTCTGAGCCACCTTTTGAGGAAACCAACTGCTGTCCATTCACTGCCCCGGGAGGCTAAAAGGAGGAGCTTTCTAAAGCCTGGTCACACGAACACGCTCTCCTCCCCTCAAAGGGCCACCAGTTCTACACGAGAGACCACAGTGACCTACAGTGCTCCTCTAAGGACAGAGCGTGTGGCCCTCCCCAGACCTGCTAACGTGGTGTCCTCTGGTAGGAGCAGCCCTGTCGTGGCAGCAAGGTCATTCTGAAAAGCTAAACTTGGAGGCGACAGGTGGGATTCTATTGCAAATCCTTGAGAATCCACAAGGCCCACAGCCTTACATCTCTTTCCATGGTACCTGCACATCCCACAGACTGAACAGATACTCGCATTCTCCTTCCTTCCTACAAGCACTTCTCTACACAGGTTAACAGTTAGTGGGGAGTAAAAGGCAGGGGGGTTAAGGAGGAGTTTCAGACAACGCGCTGCTCTCTCCAATCCAGACACCGCTACAGTTCTCAGGAGATGTCAGACCTGACCTTCTGGCCCTTGACTCTTTCTGTACTTACCCATCCTTTCAGTGGTGCCCATGTGGGGACTCTGTTGCACAAATCCCGCAGAATACGAAGGACAATTACACATGATTTTAGTCCATTTGCCCTGGCCTAAAACAAACAAAATGATTCCAATACACCCGCAAAAACCTGGCCTTCAATTTTGCTTTTCTTTTTAAATGCACAGAGTCCTGGGATAGATTTTTAAAGATTATTATTACTTAATACTTAATCAGCTTCATGCAAAATAAAAACAGTTATATAGAAGTAAAAGACTTCAATTTAGAGAGACATATAAAAAAGGAAGCAAAATGTCAAAAGATTGCTTTTGTAGCCTCATGACAACTCTAGACCAGCTGGCTGTCTACCTGTCACGTTTGCCCTCGCACGGAATTCTAGACCTTTGCTCTATTAGGGACTAGTCAGAAATTAAAGAGGCATTAAAATTAAAACTGTCTCAAATTAAACCTCGTAAGGCTACAATAACAACAAGGTAAGAACAAATAGCCAACCTGAAACCATTTGGCGTGCCGCAGAGACGCCAAGGCCTCCAGGCATTTCTGCCTGTCCAATAAGTCCGGAGGATCTTTCATCGCAACATTATCTACTGGTAAAAATGGGATAAAAAGAGACAGATACAATTTGACCAAGGGGTTTCTGTCACAATACAAAAAGAGCGGCAGCATCTCAATGAGATAATAAGACTCCCAGAATTTAAGTGCACTGTGTTATTTAATTTAAACAAGCCATTAAAGGTAGTAAATGTGCACGTGTGCAACAGAAGCAAAGGCATTCACTCCTTGTAAAATAATAGTAATAATAAAGATGGCCACTGCTACAGACAATCTGGGATCTTATTAAAAATGCAGAACACATTTCAGGGCAGAAAATAGCTATATAGCACTTTTTTTTTTCCTTTGTTGGGTTGTATCGGGCTTTTTTTCCCCCCTTCTTCTTTCCCTTCTTTGTGACTTACTCCACAACGGTAGTACAAAATTTCAAAGAGACAAGCTTCTTTCAACAAGAGGAAGATATTCTGGGGTGTATTAAAAAAAATTGCAATAGGTAGAAAGTGAAGTTATGTCCATGCAATTGTTGAGAATTTCAATGGACAACATTGAATAGATTTGAAATATTATTGCATGAACAGTGCTAGCCAATATAATTCAATTAAAGAAATGCATAAGAAATGCTGGTAAGAAATTTTAGTTTGATTTGTCTTTCATATAACCGGAATATATGAAAGAAGTAAGTTTGGTAACTTCCAGATTATTAACATATCAGAGAGGTAGCCCCCCCCGCCCTCGCAAAAATCTTTTCTTCCCAACAGCAACTGAAATCAGCAGAGGAAATTCAAAGGATTTGAGAGACAAGACACTGACTGGTATCTTCTGTGCAGGTTTACACCACACCCCCCCCCCAACCCCTTTCTCTTTCTTTATCCAGCATGCAACATACTGCTTTTAGCAGTCACATCTGATTTTATTTTAAGGGACAACTGTGTGTCAGTCCTTTCTTCCCTAATTTATTTATTTATTTTTTAAATCCTAAGGAATTATTAGCATCCAGATTCTCTGGAAATTCTCTGTACAAATGACAGATTTTGCCTATCTGTGAAGTCAAGTTAAAAAGGTTTTAGTTTTTAGCTGACATGAGAACATATTGGAAGCACTAAATAAATCCACAGCTCAACTAAAACCTGGAATATATTATTCTCCTATGAATACACAATTACTTTTTTTTATTTCAAAATAAATTATTTTGAAATACAGTCTTTTCATTATTCATAATGGTCAATCCTCCAGGCCTTGAGAGACATGTGCAGGTCTGAATGAAATACAGTATCCATTACAAATTGAAGACCATGCTAGATAAGCAAAATCCAGCAAGACATTTGAAATATGAGGACAAGTTAGGAGAGGAAAGTACCATCAGTTTGTAGTACAATTTATTAGTAACATCTCAAAGCACATTTTCACAGGTTACTTTGGATCGTAGTGGCTGCATGTGCAATTGCATTTTTAATGTTAAAGTTGCTTCACCTCCTGTTCAATGGGAAGGTTACTCTGGTAAAAGCATGTTACGTTATGATGGATAAAAGAGCCCAAAGCCAAAAAAAACCCCAAATGACAGTGTAAAACTGAACAGAACCAGGTATCTTGTCTGACTGTTCACAGTTGCAGTTCGCACCTGCTGGCTCTGCTGTCAGCAGATTTAAGTGCTATAAGCTTATTTTCTAACCCCAATGAACTTCACAGCAGATATTTGTATTGTTTCTTACTGCCCTCATCAACTGTATTACAGTATTGGGATTGATCACTCCTCGGGCTGGTTTTCCAAGTAAAAGCTGCAAAGACTCAAAGCGCTGGATTTCTGTGAGCACAAAAGGTCACTTTGGAACACAAGATTTGCTTCTAAACTTCCTTTGCAGTTTCATTATTTTCAGGAGTAATGTTTTGTGACACACAATTACTAAATGTCCATCTGTGTAGTTCTGTAAGAAAACTTGAGTGTGGGCAATATAAACATCTGCTTAAAGCTCACGTATTTTATAAAACGACTACCATCAATGAATGATCAGAATCTTATTTTAAAACATTAGAAATGGCAAAGGTGACTGATTGCAACATCATTCAGCTTTTGCAATGAACTGGATCTTTAAATGCCAAGGAACTTTCACTTAGTGCTGTACAAGGCTTTGCGAAAGCGTGTTGCAGCCATCGACAAAGTAATTTCTTTTTTCGTTTAAACTTCGAACAGAGTATGTGTCGTGGGTCATCCAGGCAAATGAAAAACCTCAGATTTCATTTGTTTCCACAAGTAGGAATCATACTTTTTCCTACAGGATTAAGGCTGTTTCCAAAGTTCTAAACTTCCAAATATCTTGAAGAATTCTGCCAATTGCAAACGCAGTACTGGTGTTCTGAGCTACTTTCGCAGATGCTGCAGTCGGCCAGCTTTTGGGTGCAAGATTCTATTAAACAGAAAGATGAAGAGAACAGGCAGTGAAGAGGGCGAGCGGCTTGCAGCAGGCTCCCTTTCGACACCCTCAGGAGAATGGCATGTTTCTTCATGCTCTGCCAGTCAGGAAAGTGAGACCCAATCAAAATTTTCAAATGGGATTGCAAAGCTTCACTTTTTTTTTTTTTTTTTTCTTTTTTTTTTTTTTTTTCCTTGTGGTTTTAACAAGGGCAATGATACAAGGAGTTTAATAAACGGTTAATAACAAAGCCCTGACGTTAGCTCTGACTGTGCAACACAGAACCAATTCTTCAGTCACTGTCTCCCCGCTTGCTGCGTGGCTTCTCTTCACACGGCAGCTGCCAGCGGCGTTCGGCGCAGCAGCCGGACGGGGAGCGCCGTCTTCTCTGCAGAGGCAAGGTCAGTCTGTGGCTTGTTGCCCCTCAGAAGCACTCGGCACCTCTGGAGCGTCGCTGGCCGCGGCAGAGTCACCCCCACGGGCAGGAGCTGCTCCAGGGGCAAGGCTGAGTTCAGCCCCACTTTGGTAAAGGAACTCCTTTACCACGCCACAAGCTTGTTGTTACTGTGAACTCAGTAACAACAACTGATTTTGAGCTCCAAGGTTCTGGTCTGGAAAGCCCAATTTGTATTTGATGCTATGACTAAAAATTCAGTTTCTTAAGAACTTTTAAACTGAAGCAAAATGCAGGAATTTTAGGTGCTTGACTTCTCAAGTCGACATGAGAAAGCAGAGCTTTATGGATAGCCATTTGTGAGAAACACTGAAATGCACACACACACTGGTCCACTATTTATTTTTGCTAACGAGCAGCAAAAACAAATAGGACAAACATCACATCTTAAACATGAACACTTTTCCAAAGAGGTGGGGACTGAAGAGAAATCCAGGAATGTTTTTCGATACATTCTGACATCAGGGCATGAAGGCACACACAGCATTCCTACAGAACAAATGGGAGCACTGGTAACGAGGTCCGTTGCGCCTAACCTTGCCGGCTGGGTTAGAGGACAGATTAGTGCTAATCACACCGAGCGCCGAAACCTTGGTCAGTTCTGCGCAGGCTCTGCTCCCCGGGGGCACCCCAGCCCCGCGGCCTATCTTACATGTGAGATGAAAGGCAAGTTGACAAGCATTTTGAGCTCCTTCTTTCAAAGGACGTATGGAATAAACGCAAGGCAGTTTTTAAAACTGCATCGGAAGTACGTTTACATTTGGTCGGCATTATTCAGGGGTATTGGAAAAATATGGCGGTACTTTGTTTGGAGATCAAGGTCTTTCACCAGACATTTTGAGGATTTTCCCTTGATACCAGATGTGAAACTTCTTTGGTCTCTATCTAAGTAAAAGTGACCTAAATCTGGTTGGAAACATTATGAAAAACATTATTTCCCCCCCCCCCGCTTTCAATTTACTTAGTGACATCTGCATAATGTTTCGCATACCTTTGAAAAGGAATATGATAAATGTCTGTTCACTTGTGATGAATCAGTGTCAAAGAACCTGGGCTTTGAAACAAGATCCATGACCCTGTTAACTTGTCCTCACCAGTGGTACAGGAGTGGTAGTGTAACACCACTCTAAGAGGTAGTCAAACCATTTTAAGTTTAAATTAAAAAAATTGTACAGAATTTTGAAAAATGTTTTAAGATACTGAAAACAAACTGGAACACCTACATTTTAAATATAAGAAAGCATAAAAGTTCAAATCCTCATTCAGATTGAGATGAATTCAGGAGTCCCTAGAGTTTACTGCCACAACGGCATGACTTTTTGCAAGAAAATACTAGGACAGATGTCTTTGTGCAAAACTCTGTCCCCTTGTGAGAGTCTTACAAGTCCTCTCCCGCTCAGATTTGTTCTGCACTTTGTGCTCGTTCTCATGAACAGGGATCAGCTGCAGCAACTGCAGGGCTGATCTCAGCATCTTATGGGAAGTCGAACAACTAAAGTAATATGCAGTTTATTTTTAATGGTCTTGCAAAAGAGCGTGGTTACTAATTTGTGAATAAACTGACATTGCAATTAGGGAATCTTTGCCATTCATCTGTTTTGTAAGATTTGTCTGCATCCAAGTGCTGCCGAAGTGTGACATTGCATTTGGGAAGGGAGAAGGGATCCTTCCTGCCGCGGCACAAACGGAGAGACACTGACCAACGTTTCTCATTGCATCGGTATTTCGGTGGGAGAGGGAGGAAGCAAAGGACGCTGGCAAGTCTGGAAATGGGAAAAGAGCGACAGGGAGTTCCCTAGCCCAGGTGGGCCCAGCTGCCTCAGGTGTCATGACAGAGAGTGGCCAGTTGGTCAAAGGTCTGACATCATCCAGTGGCAAAGTTTCTAGGGATAGGTTTGGGAAGCGGAAGCAGAAATTACTGACAAGATTTTCAAAATAAAACAGAGTATGGCTACATTTGCTCTCCTCTATTTCTCCTGGTTTGTTTCCAACCTCATTGACGCTACGAGTCAACAGTCCTTTAACGAGGGGCACATGACTATATCGGACATCACGCAGGGAGAAGGAACAGAAAGGAACTAAGTCACAGTTCTCTATGTCTACTTTGCTCTAAGGACATGAGGTACAACGTCAATTCAGAAGCAAAAGTGCTGTATTATAACACTAACTTCAATTGTATCCCAGTTAGGAAATTCTTAAAGCTAGAAACAGACACATATGTATCATCAATTAATAAAAATTGAGGGCCAGGACGACATACTTGCAAGCTTTGCAGGAGAGGATTTTTAAATTAAAAAGAGAAATGATTTTACAAGTTTTTCAAGATGCTACGAACCAATCCCACTTGACTGACTTAATTTGAAAACAAGACTGTGCAGCGCTGGGGTGCTCAAGAATTAACTAGCAAGTCTGAAAGAAAGGAGAACGAAGGTCTAATTGTATGTCAAAGTTAACATTGTAGGAATGAAAACTATGCATATTTACATGAAAATAAAGTAACTCATCTTTTTAAGGCAGAAATAATGTAACCTATGGTGGCAACAGCCAATCTAGTTAGTACATGATGTACAGTTAAAAATCTACTTCCCAGTTAACCCTGTGCTGCACAGTCAGGGCATTTAGATAGAACAGTCTTAAAAACAAGTTAAAACGCTCTGTGTACCTCCTTCCTTCTTCTCTGCTTCATCTCGAATGAGAGGGGATGTAAGAATCACCTTCAAAGTTAGCTTGGGCTCCTTTGTGTTACGAATAATAATAGCTGCCTCATTTACATGCTCCTCCACGAGATACTTCTCTTCTGTAAGTTTCTGAAAGTCACCAAGAAAGATTTCAAGAATCTCCCAATCAACTGACAAAGGCAGAATCTCTGTATGCGCACATACCTCTTAACTAACGAGAAGCCTAAAGACATTGCAGTAACATGTAAGGCCTTGCCTCCCTCATTAAAAACAAACAGAAAACCCAGGTAACCTGCTTGAGAAAAATGGTCTGCAGTAAGTTTAATGAGATACTACATAATTCCACTATATTACCACGTTGGTGTTTTGGGTTTTTTTTTAAATAAATAAAGGCAGTAGCTGACTTTCATGGCTGCTGGTATGCAAAATACCACCAGCAGCTTCTCTTAGTGGGTACAGACTCCTCCGGCAGCGCTGCCTCTGGTTTAAGAGCTCCCGTGCGCAGTACGAGCGGCACAGCCGGAGCCCAGCGCAGAGCCGCCCGCTCCCCCAGCCACACACCTGCCAGGAGGTGTGACCAGACAGCCCTCGGCCAGCTCCTACCAGCCTACGAGACTCTTCAACATGCCCCAGCAAGGGATTTCACCACCTCTCCAAACAGCCTGCTCTGGTTCCTGGCTGCACATACAATTTAGATGACCTGTTTTGCACCAATAACGCCCCTTGCTACAGTTCCAATTACTTCTCCCCCCACATGGTAGCTGTGCACGATACTCAATCACTGTCCCTTTATAAATAACCATTAATGTCTTAAAACTTACACCTGCATGCGTTCTTGACTTTTTCCAAACCAGATAATTCTAATCATGTGGTTTTCTGAGTGCTTATTGTCACTTATCCGATTTTTCTCATTTTTCTGTCCATCTCTCATTCCCTCCCTTTCCACACAGCACTTGAAACTGGACACAAGACAAACTGTTACCCACTTCATTCATTAACACCAGCCCCGGGAGAGATCCTGACAATGCCTGGAAATGGTGACACCAATGAATCGAGTGGTTTCTAAATTTTTTTCAATTAATTTTATTTCCTTGCTTAGATTTCTTTTGTAGATAATACTACGACTGCCTAATAATCTGTTCCATTACCATGCAGAGTTCTCTCGAGTGATCTGTATCTGCAGGTCTTTCAGAGTCCTGCGGGACCTCTCCCAACCTCCAGAAGTGCAAAGATAACCACAGATGGCTCAGAGTCCTCCAGCTATTTCTTGTGGTTTTGTTTCAGCAAGACCATATGGTTAGAACACACCTAACATCGATTCTAGCTTCTTTTCCTGTTGCAACCTGCACTCCTCCAGCTCCTTTATTGAGATGAAAACATTGAAGCATCTGCTCACTAGTGGCCTTCAAAGCAGCAGCTGTTTAACATCTCTGTACCTCATTTGCTTTTTGTTCACTAACAGGCCTGCACCTTCCTTCTCCCTCCTGCATCACATGCAGCTGCAGAACCTCTTGTCTTTTATGCCCCCAACAGTTGTAGCTTGTTTCATGAGTCAGATTCCTCCTACCTCATCTTTTCTGTAATCCCTCCCCTCACACTCCCCCACAGGATCTTACCTATCTGTCCCTTGAACGGATCGCAGTCGTCACATCTTTTAATTATGTCTATTCTGCCATTTTCATTTTGAAGCACATGCTAACTTTCCTTCTCACTTTCAACCTTTCTCATCTCACGCCTCACTACAAACAAGTAAAATTTCCTCTTTACTACTTGATACATCCTTATCATTTTCCAACAAGTTAGATTTACTCTTTACTACTCAATAGACCTGTAGCACCTTCAGCTGTGGACAGAGCCACATCCGCAGGCACCACGTGATGGCATTGAAACAAGCCCCTCGGGTGAACAAACAGCTGTCAAGAGTGGCAACACACGTACTGTCCACGTGGCAATAAACACAAAGCAGGAAAGCGCATCAGGAGAAGAGCAGAGCGAGTTTGGATGTGGTTTGGAGAGAGGAACTTACTTTAGGGCCCAGCTTCTCAGCAGCAGTGTATGGCAGCCTGGCAGCTGGACTGATTAGTCAGACTCAGAACCCTGTCAAAGAGGTATTATCCCCAACAGCTTTAGAGACTGATACCAGCTGTACCTGCTGCCTACTGGATGCCAATATCAGAATTAAATAGCCGTAAATAGAGTTACGAGCTCATGATTCACATGAGCTCAAATGAGCGACCACCTAAAGCGAGTTGTTCTCCCTTCAGAAGCTTGGAGGCGTTTGTCCTGGCGCAGCCCAAGCGAAGCCGAGCAGCCGCGGTGCAGAACGTAGGGCTCGGGGACAGGGACAACACCAGAGAGCAGGCAGAGGCTGGAGCAGGGGAGATCTGTGGGACTGCGGATTAGCTCACGGGAGGGGTTGGACCAGAGAGCAAACGCAGCTGGGTTAGTTCCCCAACGGAAAGGTTAGCTGCCATCGCAGGAAGAGTGACATGACAAAGAGGGAGTAGGCAACAACAGGAATAAGATGTTCAATTTTGAGAATAACTACTTCACGTCACCACGTTAAACATGTCACACCCCCCAGGTGTCGTCCTAGATTCAAAGCATATTTCTTTATAGCGCTTGGCTTTTTTTTGGTGGAACAAATTCCAGCCTTTACTCAAACACACCCTGCAGTGCTATCAGCCACTGTTCCAGGACATCCTTGAATTAACTCACCTGGATTTGAGCGGGGAGATTGTCTTTAACTGTACATAACAAGGTCTTTGTGGGTTTTTCTTTGCACATGAGAACCAGCTCCAGATCCATATCATCTTTTATCAGCAAGCCCTTTGCAACCAAGCCAATTCTCATAACACCACACAACGTCCGACCACCTTGATCCCTAGAAATGAAACAATTTGGAGTAATTAAAATGGTATTTTCACACATTCAAAATAATTGTACTATCCTATCACAGCGAGGAGATAAATGGATGGGACTGATGGCTGTGCTGAAGTGGCGTATCACTGATCAGAAAGTGAAGGGCACAGACAACTCCTATGCAAGTAGTTCCTATGAAAAAAATTAACTGTAGTACTGATTCACAGTTCACACGACTGCAGAAGTTGCCTCACTCGAGTTACAAAGCACAAAAAAGCCCAAATTCACTATCTGCAGATCTACCAGAAGAGTAGAATAGTTCATACAGAGGAGCTTTCTGACAGAAATCCTATTTTCAGGAGTGATCCGAGTTGTCTCTGAGTGACACTCCAACTTTAAACATGGACACACACCTGTTCAGTGTTTCTTTTAGTTGATCCATACATTCAATCCTACAACCAATTTCTGAAGTTTTAGCCCATACTACAAACTGACATTTCAGGAAAGCTGCTAATTTCCAGAAGTCTTTCAGGTCCAATTCCTTTGACAAATCTTACCACTGAAACCTTCAGGAATAGAGGTCTGACTGCTAGTTTTCACTCTCCAGCAAAAGTTTAGGGGAACACTTAAGAGCCACAGTGAACAACTTTCAAAGCAACAGAAGAACACTTTAGTTCTGAATATTGAGAGAAGACTGCAACAAAAACCAGTTTAGTAGGGTAGGATTGCTTAAAAACATCAAGAAAAATGCAAGAAATGCATCTTCGACAATTCAACAGCAGCTGTTGCCACATGATGCATCTCACACTCTGTGGCACATCACGTTAGAAAACCCACAGAAAGCTCATCATCAGTAAAGGTGTTAAACCACCTCAGCCAGAACGGCAGCACCCCTGTTCCCACCATTCTCACCATCCACAGGGATGGACTGGGTATAACACACCAAAAAACCCCAAACCAGTCACACTGAGATCAGGGATTATCCCGTAGATCCTGAGCCTCGATTGGAAGTACCTTCATCTGGTAACTGTGCTGGCTTTGTGCACTGTAAATGGAAAGGCAGGAGCAGGGGCTTAAACAACAGACAGAAGAAAAGAAGGAATGACACAGAAAAGGCAATCCCAGATTTCTGGCAAGAGCCAGAAGCAAACTAACAACAACTGCTCCAAAAGTAAACATCTCAACTTCCAGCCTGGAGCCGCTACCTGAACAGCATCTGCATGCAAATGTGTGAGAAAACTGCCAAACTCCTTTCGACGTGGCTTGTAACTAGCACGAAGATACTCTAAGTTATATATTTTTCTACAGTGTAAGGCCCTTTTGCCTTGTGATTAGTAAAATAATTTGTCCCATACAAAAGCATAAATAAACAAACTAGTCTGCATATATAAATAATACACTCCAAATTTATAATGGGGCACACGCATGAAGAGTCCTGCAGACACTCATGTGAAAGCAAGGCCAGCCAGCTGTCTCAAAAGCATTTACTGCAGGCTTGGATAGATTTTTTTTAATTTTTTTAAATTTTTTTAACAATCCCTTCTGCGCCTGTTTTACCCACGTGAGGAGACACCTAGACCGTCACCAGTAGTGCCAGGAAGTCCCCAGCAAAGCACCAGCACACCGCGTGTCACAGCAAAACACTGCGCTGCGATTCCTTCCCCGAGAAGATAAGAAAACTTGTCTGTCTGTGGAGAAGCAGCCTATCAATCCACTACAACTGTTCTCCGGTGTCAATACAGTCACACCGTCTCGAACAAACTTATACGTTAATTTATGTTAAAATATTCATGATTTTAAGTGTTTTGCTATTTCTATTTGAATATATTTCACACCCAAAAAAGTGACATTTCACAGCTCGGCCTTACACAAAAATGCCAGTGATCAGACTTGTGTCTGTTAAATATTTATTAGGGAACACAGAAAGCCACAGGCATCAAAATGCAGGACCATCTGTATATTTACTTTTCCAGGGCTATCATACAATGGTCCTCATGCTGCCGAACACTTCCCGTGGGGATCAGTGTATTCTGAGTAGGCGGTGCTGCATTTAAACTTCGTGCAGAGCAAGCAGTTTCTTTCAATAGCTCCCAAGCCCACAACCTTATCCTAGAGACAATCAAAGACAAGCTCAAATTTTAGTATATTTCCACAGGTTTCTTTCTTAACACGTGAGGAATTTTCTGCAGAATCCGCAACACTGCTGGGAAAGCAGATCTAGGCATGAATGCTTTCTGCTCCTCCCAGCCACACAAATTTCCTCAGTTGATTCAGCACGTCTCTTGTTTCTAAACTCCAGATGGTGAGGTACAGCAGGGCTTCGGCCCTCACTGCCCGAGCGCTACTCTAAAAAGCTATGAGATGCTTGGAAATAACAAATAACTAATAACATTACTCTGATGAACCAGGGAGCGGTATGACACTTTTGCATTGTCAGACAAACATTATCATTTAGGAATAACTGATAAATACAATAGTAATCCCTGTCTCTCATGTGAAGCCAGTAAACTGTATTTCCAGTTTAAAAACTGAGACGTCTTCCTGATCCAATTAAATCTTCCTCTTTGACCTGCACTGAATTGTATCTTACTCCAGAAGTACACAGCCTACAGGGTCTGTCCTTCTCTCTGTTACTGTCAGAGTAGGCTTGTACTTCCACCACCCCAAAATGTAAATAACTTTAACATTATTTACCAAGATACCAAAAATGAACAAAGGCCTCACAATAAACTTCTCATTGCTATAAAAGGTGTCAGAAAACATAAGAAATATATGAAAACCAATACACTTTATCAGCTTTAAGATCAGAACTTAGTGGGCAAAGCCCATGCAGCAGCAGACTATTAATATTCCCTGCGTCATGGGAAAGGAGACACGAGTCCTTTGAGTACATCTCTGGTGTGGGTTGTGCTAGAGTTGTAGCCAGATTCAGCGCCGTGAAGTTCAGTGGAGAAGTATTTGATCACAGAAGTGCACGGAACTGGAAGTCGGGTTTTTCTAGTCACGACAAATGAGCTGTTGGTCCCCTGGTGCTTCAGTTCCTGATGTGTAACCTGGGCAGACACTCGCCTGAGCTCGGGACCCCGTGAAACAGATTATGCAGAAAGCACGAAGAGCCAGAAGCGTCCAAGAGTCAGTCGCACCTGCTTCCTCCTCTCCTACTGAAGTTCGGCTACAACAAACCCTGGCACCACCTCAGGGGCAGACTGGGACATGGAGCCAACAGATGTTTCCCTCAGAGAACTACACACTTGCACTGGGCTGAGCCACTTAAACTGCTTCAGAGTAAGGTGCACGGGGCAACGCCCTGGAGTAGTGCTGAGGGGTGCCGGTAACACCGGGTGCATTAGTGACCGCTGAGCAGCGCCTGTGCAGCACCAAGGGCTGGGGGGGACACTCAGGCCCCTCCCTGTCCCCGGGGACAGCCCAGGCCCCAGGACACCAGGGTCAGCTGGGGGACGTTTGGAGCGATGGCATCTGCCTTCCCAGGTCACCGTGACTGTCCTGGGGACGCCCGAGCACCCGCCTGCCCGTGGGAAGGGGTGAACAAACTCCCTGTTTTGCTCACGACTCGTGCTTCACCTACTGAACTTCTCTATCTCAACCAACAAGTTTTCCCATTTTTACCCTTCCAGGGCTCTCCCTCATCCCACCGGCGGAGTGGCTGGGTGGTGCTGAGCTGTCCTGGGGTTAAACCACAGTAAGAGTGGAAGGCAACGGTTCCGAAGAAAAACTGAATTGTTGGATAAACAATAAAGTTTATAAAAATCTTTTTTTGGTGTATTAAACTGAAGGAGCTCCTGAGCTACATGGCTGTGGATTTGCATTCGTGTGTTACAGGGACACGTATTCACTTATAATTGCTAAAAGGTTTGTCTGCTAAATGCATCTTCACAACATCACAGCAAAATAAATAATGAAAGAGAGAGCAACTGCTGCCCACGTTGGGCTTATTATTATTCCCTGCACTCACCCTACGTGCTCCCACCTCAGAAAGTCCAAATATATCCACCTCCTTCTATGAACATTCACATGCAAGAATCAAGTAACACTACGACTCTTACTTGGAAGGAAAGGAACCCATTCAGAGCGGCACAGTAACACATTATGAGGCTCAACTCACTCACTTGGCATTGCTTTCTGCAGCTTCCTCCTTTGCTTCCACATCACCCTCACATTTTGTGGACTTGTTCTTTTCATCCATCCAGTCAGAGACATGTTTAAGGGCACATTCTACTGTTGATACCATGTTCTGGACAGCTTCAAGTTCCTCTGGAGATGGATAAATGGTTGAATGTTTCACCATTACATGGCGGTCATCATTAGCAAAAGATCGGATAGATCTCTGTTATGAAGTGGGAAATGAGGGGGGGGGAAAAAAAGAACAAAGTTATTGGATTATCGACAGAAGGACATTGCCTGACTGGGAATCCTCCCTGACAGATGTAGGAGAGTGGTTTATGACAACCATTACTTATAGTCACGCAGGAGTGATTTCTTATCTTTATTTAAATACATTTTAAAAGAAAAAGGCAAGCAAACACTAGTGCAAAAATCAGCATTAAGATGGTAAAACATAGAAGACCATGGGTGTGTTATATGGCACCTAATACTTGATGCCTAAATTCAGTCCTTCTAGAATCCTGTTATCGGCTGCTAAGAGGAACAGGCACAGCTCATGTTCATGTCTACCAGGCACATCTGGAGCAGAGTTTATGTTTATGTGTCCTTTAGGAGGAGATATACTGTCCCTTAGGAGTACATCTCCCCACCCACCCACATGTGACCGTGGAAGTCTAGACCACTGCATCAGATTAGCTGCTACAGACATCTAAAAATGAAGCCACCCGAATGTCATCTTTTCTTTGGCACCTCCGTCGTGAGCGGGAGCCATGACACTGCGTGTGTGAGGCACAAACTGGGAAGAGGGAGAACTTGGGTCTAGGACCAGGCAAAACTCCGTACACCGTAGACTGCTGTGGCAGATACAGACCAGGGCTGAGACCTGCACTGTGCACTAGTCTGTTTGCAATGGCTAAAAACAGAGTTTCTATGGCTTGTCTCTTCACGACTCCCCTGCCCCCCACCCCCCCTTTTCTCATTTTCGTTGTTTTTCTCACTTCTCCCTGCCCTCACCCACTAAGCTGCTCTTTGAGAGGAGGGCAGGGGCTGGCTGGCTAAGTATAGAGTGCTGAAACAGGGCACCAAAAAACCTCTTGAGTTTCATTCCCAGCTTCACTGTGTCTCGTAACTTCCCTCATCCTTTGACTAGCTTGTTCATTTAGATTAAGCTTTCAGATCCAGTGAGAAATCACTCAGGCCCTGATCTTGCCCGAAGGATCTGCGGTCACAGAGATGCAAGCTGCGAGCAGTAGTACTGAAGGGAAGAGGGGCTTTCCTACTCGGGAATACTGGCAGGAATTAAGGAGTGCCTGAATTTTGGTGATTTTTGTTGGCTTGTGTCAGCCTTCAGCAGCTGGAAAGCTCAGAGCAAAGAGGACAGCCGGGCTCCTCCTCCCCAGAGGTAACCAACCTCCCTGCAAAGTGGGAATTTAGAAGCCAAGTGTCCCGGGGGAGAGAGGACTGGGTGAAGCCCGTGGAGAGGAGGGCAGACAAGGAGAACATGGAGGAGATCCCTGTCCTGTAGAAGGCACTGATCCTCTCCAAACACAACTGTGCATGTTCTGGAGTGCTGAGTGCAGCCACCTCCCCTCTATTTATGCCAGAGACATGGCAACATGCCTCAGAACAAGGCACCTGCAGCGCCATTCCCTGATGGCTTTGTCACTGCTGCAGATGAAGTCACGGGCAACACATATTGCCAGAAGAGGCTCAGCAAACTGCACAGGGGTTTACAAAGGCATGAATGAAGATGAGGATAGAGATAAACTGGTAAGACTGAAAGAATTTCTTTGGAAAAAAAAAAAGAATAGGAAGAGATTTGAGTGCTAATTAAGGGTCTGCAGAGAAACTGAGACCTGAGTGATACTCTTGAGGAAGGTAGACTTAAGCAGCTGGATAACTTGCACCAGGAAGGTTATGGTTTGCCACACGCTACCCAGATGAGACTTTTTTTGATATAAACAGTGACCCAGACCAGCTGCAATCACAGCACAGACCTCTGGCAAGAGCAGCTCTAAACCTTCTCTACAGACACATCAATCCCTGCTGAAAGCCTCCCAGAACTTGGAATCATCGACCAAAACCTCTGCTCCTCCTCCACATTAAACACCTTAGTTGGGTTTCGTTTTCACCCCTATTCCTGGGTTTATAACAGGACTCCTAACGACAAAAAGGGCCTTTGGAGGATCTCAAAGGCCTCTGGGTTGAATCCTTGTAAAGGAACTGGTCATGGTTCCTGGCTCACTGCTCTCACTGGGTCCCTTCCACCAAAGGGAACGTGACATCGGTCCTTCCCTAACTTTTGTCTTCCTACCCAGATGCACAGTTTGGGTAATAAAAGAAACTCATGAGTTGGGGTCTGGTTTTATCCCCAGGACTTTCAGTGGTTGCAAAATGCTTCCAGGAGGTCCCTCTTGTGGCTTGTCTGCAACATGAATGCAGAAAGAAGCTGCAGTTCAGCACCGAAAACTGACAAAAGTGGATTTATCAACTCACCCCCACCATCTCCTCTCATGAAATATCAATTAGGAAAAACAGTAAAACAGGAACAAAAAAGTAACTCCTACATTAGAAGACATTTGGGTTTTTTCCTAATGAAGAGGGACTGACAAGATCAATCGTCCCTTACAATTTAGGCCAAAAATAATAGCAAAATGGGACACTATTTAAAATACAATATATTGACAACTCTGCTTTGTAAAGTGTTCTTCCTCCCTTTGTGCTCTGTAGCAGATAAGTCTCATCTTAGGTCTTTTCTTAAAATATAAACACAGACTATCAGCAGCAATCAGTTACACAAAATGGTAGAGAACTGTATTTAAAGTTTATTGTATTTATTCTCGTTCCCATTCTCTCAATAATAACCTTAGAAGACTTAAAAATATATAAATATGCTTAAACTGCTCCCCGCGGGTATTTTTTTCAGGAACTGGGTAGGTTTATTGCCTTTTTGTGAACACATCTTCCGAATCTTACCATCACAATACTTCATATTTGCACAGCTTTACAAATTCAATATCTTGGGCACTCCTCCTTTGCAAACCAATACCAGACAGATTAGAAATGACTCCTCACCTAAACAATACACACCAAGTATATCTGACTACACACATTTCATCTACACCACGAACAAAGTGTGCATAGAGCCACATTCAATCACACACAAATATGAATAATCAACACTTGCTTTTGTGAGGAAGAGGCGGAAGGGGAATATTAGCATTTGGTTATGCAATCTGTAAGTTCAAGGTCATGCATGCTGTTTGCTACAGCTTGCTAATGCCAGTTTTATTAGAAAACCTTATAAGCATCCCCTTCGCTCATATTTAATAATTCATGTAATGCAGGCTCACAAGACAACTCGGGTTTTAAGAGGCTGACAATATATCAAACCTCGTTTGCTTTGCTCAAAGCACGCAGTACCATCTCTAATTTAGTGCAGGGTCAGAAAATCCCCTCACTCTGATTTTATCAGGTCCCATGCAAGACTGCCAGCAGAGAATATTTTTAATGCAAACCTGTGAAAGATGACAAATACCTACCATGGTTTGTTAGTGTTTCAGCTCTCTCTCCCTCCCTTTCTCCTTTTCCCTCCTCCTTGGTGTCTTTGCTAAGCACTGTTTTGCCTGGCAGAACCTCTTCATAAGCCTCTCAGTCCTTTGACAGCTCAAGAGTTCATACAGCCAAGATGCTTGGGGAATCACTTTCTGTAATTCACCTGCAAAAAGAGGAACAACTTGAAACCAGAGGAAACAGCATGTTAATTCCAATAAGCGTTCAATGCAGCACACTAAGTCAAACCACTGATTAAAGCAAGCAGGCTTCAAGATGGGGAGGCAGTCACTGCACCATTTATTCCTGAACAAGCAGATGTCACTGTGGAAAGCAACTTTTTGTGATGTGCCCACACGTATGCAACGACTTTCCCATGCCAGTTAGAGCTTATCTCAGTGTGGTTTGTCAGCCACCTGGCAATCGAAGTTTCTGATAGGAGGAGGACAGGAAATCCAACATCTCAAATATGCACTATATGAAACCAGCTCAAGAAGTCTTTATTTTTACATCGCATGCACATTAGGAAACAAACACACTGTATTTAATTATCAAAAAGTAATTATCTGTTGGAATCCCCAGAGCAGCCCTCCATCCCGAATGTGTCAGATGCTGTACAACAAGAACTAAGACTTCAGGGGGCAAGAACTGCAAGCTGTTATTTAAACCAGCACAGTGTAACAAACTGGAGCTGTACAACTCGGGAGAACGCTCAGCTGAAATCACCCACACCGCCTTTCCTGCCCTTGCACTGCTTTTCACAGCACACAACATTGAGAAGATGCTGCAAGCGCAGCCCTCTTGTACTAAACTAGGAAACAAACACCAGCACTGGCAGCATAAGGAACTGCAAATAAACGCTCTGCAAGACAAGAGAAGGGCAGAACGAGAGCAGGTAATGTGAGAGAGAGGAAAGCATATGCTCATTGCATAGCAAGACACTCTAGGCCTTGCAGAATATTCCTGTTTTCCTTTCACTGCACATATTGTTGCATCAGCTTTTCGGCAGCATTTATGAAGCAATTGGAAACCCAGTCAGTAAATTTCTGCAGACTGACACACACACTCAAATGTTTGTCTTTTCTCCTATACGTTGATCCTCCTTCTCTAGCAATATGTTGCATATTGTCTGTCAGAGAATCCTGACATTGTTAGAGATTAAAAGCATGTTTGGCAACAGCAGAGGGATAGGCGAAATGACTTGAAAGCCGAGTAGATGCTTAAACCTCAGGGGTGTGACAGGGAATAATTAAAACGTTGCATCCCATAGAGATTTGAACATGCCAGGGGAAAGGCAACAACAAATCTTGCTTCACTATTTTCCTAGTTAAGAAGAAATGAAGAGGGTTTAGAGGACCGATAGTTTTGGCAGCAAGTGCCTAATAGTTGTTTATATCTCACACCACTGAAATGAGGATGCACAATTGGGTAAAACAAAGACCAGCCAGGCGAGAATGCTGTGCAGGGGCCTGTCTGCTCCAGCAGCTACAGACTGCCAGGGAAGAAGCCCCAAGAGAGTTAAATGCAGTCATACTAAAAATACTTGGGAAAAGCAAGCTAATAAAACCCCTGAAGGACCTCACTTCTTATCACGAAGGCTGTATCCCCTACCAAGGCATATTAACACTACCAAATTGCTTCCCAGAAGCAATCAAGGAAGGGGATGTTCTTTCACAGGACCAGATTCTTCTCTTAAGAGATCCTGAAAGCCGAACAGGGGCAGCTGGAATGAAAAGGAAGCCAAGATTACTGCTTTGGCACTGTGTATTCTAGGAGCTAGTTATAAGCTCTTCCACACTTAATAGCCTTTCACCATCCCCAGAAGCAACCAGACTCTATGAGGTCTTTTTGTTTTGCCTTTCTATAATAATAATGTCCTTTTGAGTCAGCAGATGGCAAGCTAGAGAGACTTTTATGACACATGTTTCTAGATCATCCATCTATTTCAAATTAGTTCTCTTTTCAAACTAAATTCCAGCTATCTTCACATACTCTTCTTCCCGTTGACTCCTACATTTCACATTTTCAGTTTGCTGTCTTCTCTGGTAACTGCAACTTGGCAATTCCAGGCAGAGAGAAGGGCACTGGAATGTGTTGCTGACTTCAGCATATGCCCAGTAAAACTTCTCTAGACTCCAAGCAACACTCCAGCCTGGCCTCCCTCCGAAGACTACGGCAAGCTGTTGCTTATCAGCTTGTACAGTGTATTGAAAGCAGATGGACAAAGATAGCTGGCTGAGCAAATTCTGGTGCTTCAGTAAATTGCTGAGCAGACTGTTGTCTAGAGGGCAAGTCTGCAAACTACCTCGCAAGCTCTGGAAACAGACATACCTCAGGGTGCAGTTCTGGCTGTGCTGAGTGCTTTCAGTGTTCTTTGAAAAACCAAAACAGAACAAAAATAAGTGTCTCACAGCTATCACAGAATGCTTTGGGCTGGAAGGGACCTTAAAGCCCATCCAGTCCCACCCCCTGCCCCGGGCAGGGCCACCTTCCCCCAGCCCAGGTTGCCCAAAGCCCCGTCCAACCTGGCCTTGAGCCCTTCCAGGGAGGGGGCAGCCACAGCTCCTCTGGGCAGCCTGTGCCAGGGCCTCACCCCCCTCACAGGGGAAAATTTCTGCCTTAGATCTCATCTAAGTCTCCCTCTGTCAGTTTAAAGCCATCACCCCTCCTCCTATCCCTAACTCCCCGATCAAGAGTCCCTCCCCCCTTTCCTGCAGCCCCTTTCAGCCCTGGGGGCCGCTCTAAGGTCTCCCCGGAGCCTTCTCTTCTCCAGCTGAACCCCCCAACTCTCTCAGCCTGTCCTCACGGG